CTAGCATGGGCGCCTACAGAAACGCAAAGCAGGAGATGAAGCATAGCTGAATATGTTTCCAAACCAACTTCATTCTAAGCCAAAGACTAGAAAATATGGTGAAGCAAATCTTCCCTTTGGTTTCACCTGCACAAGTGCCGAGGTAGGTCTCCCCTGCATAATTGGTTTTCCCTTCGTCGGGAGTAGCGCTGGGCTCTGCACATCACGGACAAACAGTATCCCACATTCGTGATTTTTAGTTTACAAACACTTCTTGTAATGACTAACTACTCCTCACATTTTGGAGATATACATACTATACTATACTTTATACAGTAAAGTTACAGTGGGATAGAAATAATATCAGGCTCATCCTGCCACGATTTGTTCGATCACCCACAAACAGTATCCCACAGCTGTTTATGTTTTTAAACCTATTTTGCACAGAGAGGCATTTTTTGGAAAATGTATTGATAGCAATGTTGAATATTATTACACAGCAAAAAAACAACTGCACGTAAAATAATCACATCGTGACGCCTCTGCCTTTGTAAATGGAGGGACATTAACTGCGTGTGTATGTGAACATGTAAAACCTGCAGATAGTCAGATTAACAGTATTTTGTCTCGATCTGTCATTCTGCAATTCATCTCATATAAACAATAACGTGGCACACAGCGTGACGTGAAAAAAGGCACATACCTTTGACGTTGCGTGATGAACTCTGTATTCCTCGTTCACACGTAAACGCGAAAAAGGAGTTTTAAAAAAATCTCAGTTTTCGGTGATTCGAAACGTTGTTTACATGTGGACGAAACAGCTGCGTTTTCAAAAATACCCGTGTAGGTGTGGACGTAGCGTAAAAGAGTTAGTAGTTTATTTTATTACTACCTGTCATTTATTGCAGATTACTTGTATTTGCTTAATTGTTTACTAAATGTTTGAGGTGTGAAATAAACCGCAATGGAGCAAAATATGGGTGTGTGTGGTTGGAGGATGTGTGCGTGCCTGTGTGAACATTTTTCTTGTAAAACAAAGGGGGACCCAGCAAAAAAAGTTTGGGAACCACTGCCATAGCCAATTATGCTTTGCATTCTGGGATGTGGCAGGGCACCGTAGACGTGCAAAGGTCAGTACGGGTTTGCAACCAGCCGTGAAATGAATATAAATTGTCCATGTTCTCAAATAGTTCAGAACACGGCACTTCCTGTATTTTGTATTCTTGTTGCTCCTGGTCCAAACACATGAGCTGGCCAATAACGTCACTGAACATTCTCAAGTGGTTTGTGGCGTTCACGTTCTGGCTCACTCTGTTTGAGGAGAAACCAGACCATGGGTAAAAGCTACACGTGTAAGAGTAAAGAGTAAACGAAGTATAGGTGTAAAAACACCCTTAGACATTGCAAAGAAATTTCAAAGTAATGCAGATGCACATGAGCAGCTTTGATAATTGCATTTTATCACAATTCCAATAATTTCTAAAAAACTAAACGAAAACCTTCCTTTGCATCAAAGGAAGCATTTCAAAATTCGAAAATTAGTTTAGTTTTTGTTCAGCAGATGATGTACATTTTAAAGGTTATGCTATCAGTTTCTTTTTGTGTGTTAAGCACAAATAATTAATACAGTTCATGCATTAATTCATCTAATTACACAAAGATGGCCATTTATTCATCATCAACCCAATCTAGTACTTTGTCTTTTCTCTCCATCTTACCTCTGTGGCTCTTTCACTCCCTCCTCCATACAGGTTTACCCAGATGGTATCCGTCACATCCGAGCAGACAAGCGTGTGAACGAGTGGAAAACTCCTGGTAAAAAAACTATTGTCCGCTGTGCTGTGAACCAGCGGCAAGTAGTCATCGCCCTCACTGGTGGGGAGCTGGTCTACTTTGAGATGGACCCGGTAAGGAAGTCGATTATTTTTGTGTTATCCGATCATCCTCTTGTGCCCCTCTGACATTCTGTTCAGCCTCCATAATGCCTACAATGTGGCATGTGCACGAAAAATAAAACTGTTGGTGGAGTGAAGAAATCCAAAACTGAAGTCTATTTCATCACCTCCAGCTTGAAGTGAGACAACATGGGCTATAACAGCTTTCTCCTTGTTCAGAGCAATGAGTGATTTGGGCTGCTGGCCTATAGTTTGATTATCTTTACTGTGTGAAATAGATCACCTGTTTCTGCTCCACACTGCACTGTCTTCCCTACACACAGTGAAGTGTTTCATTGACAAGGTTACAGTTATACTGCGTACTAATTAAAAATTAATACAATAGACAGAAATACTGCCATCAATCCTCAGGAATATTGTCCATTGGGGGGGGTGATCAGTCAAATCATTTGACAGGCTTATTCAGCACTTCATTTTATAAAAGGCAATTTCACAAATGACTGCACAATTGCCTTATCATTAGCTTCACTTAATTTATTTTCCTGCAGAGTATCTGATGACTTAATTCTAACACTAATATTGAATATCTCAGGTTCCATATTGAATAGAGGAAGATGACTGAAGTGAGGTGACTGAAAATCTGTTTTGATTTTTTTCAGTCTGGCCAGCTGAATGAGTACACAGAGAGGAAAGAGATGTCTGCAGATGTGGTTTGTATGAGCCTGGCCAACGTTCCTCCTGGTGAGCAACGCTCCCGATTCCTGGCTGTTGGGCTGGCTGACAACACTGTTCGCATCATCTCCCTGGATCCTTCGGTATGAGCTTGACACAGAGATTATCAATGAGATCCTTTTTTGTTCAGAATTGGAGGTGTTGCTCGGAAATTGCTTTTGCTGGTTTATCTACTGGCATGTGATTGAGCCCATGACAGCTTGTATCCGAACAAGATGTCAGGTACTTTAGTTTTGGGTATGTCTTTGCCATCTTTGATGTTTGTTCCTATAGAGGTTTGTTTTGGTCCTAGTAACATTTGGCCGTTCAGTTTATTGTTGATTGACAGCAAAGACTATTTTCACGCTCTGTGGGGACAGACATGCAAATGTTGGCACTTGTGTTCACTTTTGAAAGCTAGTATCCATTATCTGCTGCACTACAGAAATTCGTTTGCCTGTCATCTTCACAGTATGTGGAGTCAGAGTGTGTACTCACACACGCGCGCACACACATGCACATCCCCTTTCAGGCTAAAAATGAGGACGTCATGTTGCTTCTAGTTTCTTAATTTATTGCCCTTGCAGCGGTAATGGGTATTTTCAACGGTTGAAACTTTTTTCTTATATTCATAAACCAAACTGTGCTGCTCAGCCAAATTTGCACATTGTCACTGTACTCTCAGGTCTTTCCCATTGTGCAGAATGAGTAACAGAATGTGGCATCTGTTTAGCATCCAAGTTTGAAGGAATCCATGGTTAACCACTTGAGAATTCCTGGTAAACTTATGAATGTAAAAATGACTGGAAATATACTTCAGCTAGATTTTTAATTATAGGATTTCCCTGAAGGCTCGGGAGCGTCTGAGATAAATATTAATTTAATGTCAACAATTTCAGCAGCCTTCTGCAGAACCTGCTGAAAGTAAATAATCCCAAAAAACAGATGTTTTAGCTGATTAACTTCTACAGAACTTAGTTTAGACCGTGACGCTCAGTGTGAAAATACAGTCCCTCCAAAAGTCCCTACTATCCAGGAAGGGTTCCTGTGGTGGGAACTTGATTAATGATTGGCATAAATCCCTTTAAGGCTAAATTAATCTTAGTTTCTTATTAGGTCAGTACAAAGTAATGTTGTCTTGTTTAGGAAACAATTACACCCTTCCCTTAGGGAAAACTTTGTACAACATGAAAGTTGTCTGACCACTTTTACTGCCTCTTAAGATGACCAGTAACCTTAAAATATTCATTGCACATTAACTGAAGATTTCTGTTTCCCTGTTTAAAATGTGTAAGCCAGAAAATAATGCTTTGAGTATTCAGTAATGTGTTTTTTTTTCTTCCAAAAAGGTCTGGATTAAAATATCTCATCTGCCTTAACTATTTTAATAGAAGTGTAAATTTTAAAAACTTTAAAAACGATTACAAGATAAGAATCTTTTTTGTTTACGTGCACCTTTAAACAATTGAATGGTGCTGTTACACAAAAACGTAATGTTCGGATTCCTTTGCATGTTGCTATTTTTCTGACCCCCTGAATCTTTACCATGTTCAGGACTGCCTGCAGCCACTGAGTATGCAGGCCCTACCAGCCCAGCCAGAGAGTCTGTGTATCGTGGAGATGGGAGGGGTGGAGAAACAGGATGAACTTGGAGACAAAGGAACCATAGGCTTTCTCTACCTTAATATTGGGCTTCAGGTATTCTTTCACATTAAAATATCTCAGGTTTCATGTTGAAGTTGAAGACATTTTACTTTTAAATCACAACTCTGTAAAACCAAATGTAATACAGGGATTGTGTACAGGCTTGAGTTCAGATTGATCTTGTACCTAAAATCCAAACTGATAATGTTTTTCATACTTGATCAATTAGCAGTCAGGGAGCACAGTCCAGAGCAAAGATTGTCACAATTTTTATGTTATGTTAGTTTATGTTGCTATACATTTCAGCTTATGTAGATGTCTTCAGCTAATGTGTTTTTGCTCCTCTTTCTCAGAACGGTGTGCTTCTGAGGACTGTCTTGGACCCAGTGACTGGAGACTTGTCAGATACCAGAACACGCTACCTGGGATCACGACCTGTTAAACTGTTCAGAGTCAGAATGCAAGGACAGGAAGCTGTATGTAACTCGAACGTTTACTCAGAATCAGCTCATAAATACAAATTTGTGCATTTACAAAAATATTGTTTGTTTTGTCAGTTTTTATGCTTGTGATCATATTAAGTCAGAAATATTTGTATCAAACCTTAAGATTTAAAAAGAAATTTGTCTTTTTTTTTATCACTGGTTATAAATTAATTGATTAATTGATGTCTTTTCTCTTGCTGGCAGGTGCTTGCAATGTCCAGTCGCTCCTGGCTCAGCTACTCTTACCAGTCTCGTTTCCATCTGACTCCTCTCTCATATGAGACTCTGGAGTACGCCTCTGGTTTTGCCTCTGAGCAATGTCCAGAAGGCATAGTGGCCATCTCTACCAATACTCTAAGGTATGGATGCACTTAGAGCATTTTTTTTGTAAAACATAGGCATCACTGTTTGTGTAATGGAGTTTAACTGAATCCAAAGTGAAGAAATCCAGCATTTGTTATGTATTATCACAATTTGAATAACTCTAAATGTCTTATGTTCAAAGTGTTTATAAATCGGCAGAAAGAAAAGTTTATTGAAGGGCGAAAAAATATATTTTTATATAAATCTCACCTGTGCTTGTCTGCCTGGTAGAATCTTGGCTTTAGAGAAACTTGGAGCCGTCTTCAACCAAGTGGCCTTCCCGCTTCAGTACACTCCCAGGAAATTTGTAATCCACCCAGAGACCAACAACCTCATTTTGATTGAAACTGACCACAACGCCTACACCGAGGCCACTAAAGCTCAGAGAAAGCAACAGATGGCTGAGGTATGAATATATCGTTGTGACCCAACCAGTGGTGTTAACATCTGTCTGCGGTTACTCTCAGTAATAAATTTATTAAGGGCAAGAAGTCGGCAAGTTGGTTATGAACAAGGGAGAACAGAAATTTGTTCCCGTGTGAGTTATTTTTCCAGGTTAGAGCCTAAAAAAGTAGGTTTATTAAATTATATGGATTTAGGGATTTTTCCTGACATCCTTTTACTGTTTTCGCGTTTTTCTCACTGATAAACCCAACAGTAGAAACAATGAGAAGTAGAATTTGGTAGTTTAACGTCATTTTGTCCCTGATGATAATTATATTATGAATTAATAAACTTTGTGATGGCAGACATTCCCATCACAGTTTGTAGTCTAGAATATCATTTTCATATGCCTGGTTTTATTCAAATAACAGTTGCCAACATGTCATAAACAACAGAAAATCACATCCCTTCTTTTGCTACTGTAGGAGATGGTAGAAGCTGCAGGTGAGGATGAAAGAGAACTGGCTGCTGAGATGGCTGCTGCATTCCTAAATGAAAATCTTCCAGAAGCCATTTTTGGTTCGCCCAAAGCCGGCGCAGGACAGTGGGCCTCACTAGTGCGGCTGGTTAATCCCATACAAGGTTCAACACTGGATCAAGTGCAGCTGGAACAGAACGAAGCTGCGTTCAGGTGAGTAGTACTCATGATGGGTGGGTGGGGTTTAAGTGAGGTTAAACAGTCTGACCCTGGGCTGTTTCTCTTTTATTATGCCTTTCTCTTTGATGGACAGTGAGCCTCCCAAATTCCAAGCCCTTCATTAATACTCAGTGTTGTTTCTTAATCAGCAGTTGACATAGTGAAAATAGTTTGGGCTGCCATTGTAGCGGTTCTTTGGTTTCTTTCACCTGGTGACAAATTAACCTTTTTCAAAACGACACTTTGTGTTGATTTGTATCAACACCTACTGAAAACAGGCACAGTATTTTTTTAATGCAGCAAATGTATTAAGATTTAATTCCATACTATGGGCATCATTTAAAGGTAATAAAATTTGTGATTTTGGAAGGCAGGCTACTGGATCCATCAAAAGCATCACTTTCTGATATAAAACAGTATTTTTGGCCATGTTTTGAAGGTTATAGCTAATATTTTGTGTTAATATATTTCTAAATGATTAGCGTGACTAATCTAAACTAGCAATATAGTATATGGGTGGGTCAGATGTTGTACTTGGTGTTTTTCAGTGTGGCCGCTTGTCGATTCACCAACACGGGTGACGATTGGTACGTCCTGGTCGGTGTTGCCAGAGACATGATTCTCAACCCAAGGTCAGTGGGTGGCGGCTTCATCTACACATATCGACTCGTCAGTGGAGGGGAGAAGCTGGAGTTTGTGCACAAGGTGGGTTTCAGTGACATAAGGGGTTAATGTTATTAAGCTTGTTTCTCCTTGAATATTTATTAGGCTGAAGCTGATTCACTCTCATCTTTTACTGTTTACACTGGGGAATACTGATGTAAACAGCATAAAAGTGCTTGTCTGTGTCATATTTGGCTTTAGTTTGATTCATAAAGCAAATCAACATTTCATTCTGTAGGCTCTGCAACAATTTAATGCTTAGGTGCTGTGCTTTGTTTTTTGGCCTTCTGGTGCAGCTGCACGTGTGCAAGTTTTAAAAGATTTCTGCCGTCACTCTGCTGTAACAGTACTCGGAGCAAGTCAGCTGGAGAGCACATTCAGACCTTGTAGATCTTGTAGCAAGTGCAGCTCTACCATGAAAGGCTGAGTAAATAAAAAATAATTCACAGTCCAAGGGAGTTTGAAGAAAATAGTTAGTGTGACAGGCGACTTACAGATGTATATACGGTTTCTTTGGGAGATGTCGGCTTTTATTACCTTTTGCTTACCCAGGGACTGTGTGCAGGCCATGATTTGAGACAGATGTTAAGACGAGGACTGGACTCGAGGAAAGTCTATTCAGAATGCATGAAGCAAGACAGACTGATACAAAATTTTGATGATGGGGTGAAACACAGCTGTTGCTGTCCCTGTTGTCACAGACTCGCTGGGCAATTCCCCAAGAAACCCCACCAGGGTGGAGACGATCAGGGTGAATCAGCCCACATACGTTTGTTACCTGATGTGGATTAACAGGGGAAATGACTCATGAGTGTTGTGTTTCGCAGTGGTGTCAGGAATTTCCCGACCACTTAACCAGATCTGATATTTTAGATGATTCTATCAGGTCACAACTCACTTTTTTCCCTGTTTGTTACATAACCAGAGATATCAGAGTATGCACAATAAGATGACACATTTCTGAGTGCAAAGTCATGACAGCATCTTGGATGTAGGCAGACATACTTTTCTGAGATGGCTGTGTCGTTGGGTGTATGTTCCAACAGGGCAATAAACTAGAAATATCCATCAAACTGTGACGGGCCCGCTGAAGGCCGCGGAGAAAGCACAGCGCCGGGTTGAAAGGTTTTTCCTGTCCAGGATGTCTGACCTCACAACACACTCTTAGTCACTCTCCAGAGGGGAAATTTGGATTCTCAAGTTGCGTTTTAGTTGTAATTTGGGCGTATTTTAGACAGGGAAAGTATTGACGATGTGTGACTCATGACTGGTGTAATCTTATTTGAGAAATATAATTTACCAAAATACTTTCTTAATGTTTCAACAGGTAAAGACTTTGTGTTTATGAGGTTGTTCAGAAATGCTTTTCTAAGCAAATCGTTAAAAAATGAACATGTTAAAAATAAACAGCTGGGATCTGTAGTAAATCTAAAACCACAGGCAGATTTCACAGTAGCTGTTTTACTCTTTAATCTCTTATGATGACTAAAACTGTGTTTAGTGAGACGTTCTTTCGTCTTCTTTAAAAAGCCCTGTATCTGTTTCAATCTTTATCTGAACCCAGATTGTTTTGTTTATTTCTAGACCCCAGTAGAGGACGTGCCTTTGGCAATCGCACCATTCCAGGGACGAGCCCTAGTTGGAGTGGGAAAACTGCTTAGAATCTACGACCTGGGGAAAAAGAAGCTGCTACGCAAGTGTGAGAACAAGGTAAGACAAGGACATCTGGATACAAACATCTATACACCCTCTATAAATATTCTCTCTTCCACCTGCGAATCCCACTTTCTATCAAAGGTTCTTTATAGAGATGATGAATATAGTTGATGATCTGAAAATATAGACGATGAAGAATTGGTCTTTAAAGATTTACTAAAAGGAGCCAACTTTGACCTGACCCATGATCAATAAGTTGATGAGCAGAAGCATCCCGATCCGGGATGTAATCAGGCTTACATCATAAAATTATTAGTTTCAGAATAAGAAACAAAAAGTGTCATCATGAACAATAAATAAATAAAATCCAGTTCACTTTTTACTGGACACATCTGACTATAGCTTTCACCAGACTGGCATGGTTTAAACAGATATTACAGCTTTCACAAAGCTAGCTAGCATAAGAAACATCAGAAGATATTGATATTCTATTTGAACATGTGCTGTGTAACCAGCACAACAGGTGCTCAGTACAGTGACACAGAAAAAACAAATCACAATACAAGACATTCGTACTACGATAGTTACACTGCTAAATGATAGTCAATAATCTCAATTGCAGACCTGCATCTTTATTAATTATTCTTGTTAAAAATAACACTGTAGTACAGATGATTATTTATTAAAACTTTCAAATATACTTTAACTGGCTGGTAAATAGTTTTTATCTCAACTCTTTGAAACCAATTTCAAAAAAAGTTTCATCTGTATGTGGATAGCTTTATCTCTGTTTGCACTCTGGGTTTTCCTTCCTGTGAAAAGAAAAGAAAGGTTTTATCTAATGGTGCATGGCCGATTTGTTCCAGATTAGCCATCAGGGACTTTTTCAAAGTTCCTAATGGCACGACACCTTTATTTTTATTAACCAAAGCAAACTGCACCGTTTTGTAAGAAGCAGAGGTGCCTTTATATAAAGAACAAACCACCTGAGGGGTGTTTTCAATGCAGTAAAGTAATTGTTGTAAACAGGGTCAAGACTGAGTGTGAGTGTGTCTAGTTTTTGTTTGCAGACACTTTGTGTTTAGGTTTTAGAGGTTTGAAGCAGCTGTTGTGCTGTAGAGCAAATTTTTTCATGAGTGTATGTGATGCATCATGCTTTTGCATAAACATTTTTCCCAGAATGTTTTGGTTGAAATTAACAGCCTGCATTGAAACTCTGTGTAACAGGATATAAAAATAGTGCGGTCTGTTTTGAAACACGTAAGATTTGGACGTGTTTAAGGGGGGAAAACATTGCACTCCTTATGTTTGTGGGGCTTTAACAGTCACACAGAACAACTTTACTTTAATGTGTAAACAGTAAAGAGCAATGTTGTATCTAATTAATGAACAGCTGATGTGCAGCAGTGTTGCTGCCTGAGTGTTGTGTTGCAGATAAGATGCATGTAGCTGACAGTTGAGTTAATACCATACAGTAGAGTGCATACATAAACACATGTGCATTGTATAACCCCTCTGGATTATACTTTTAACAATTGTTTCCAGTCTATTTAGTCCCTCCCTTAATGGTTACATCCTGTAGTGTGTAACGTGATAAGTTTTAATGAGTGTGAGCAAGTCATTTTTCGCAGAGCTGCACAGGACACCACTTGGGGAACATGTCCAGATTGCATTATTTTCTTTTAAAACACTTGACTGAGTGTACTTCACTGCTCTCCTTAACTCTTTGTAGCACGTTCCCAACCTGGTGACTGGCATCCACACCATTGGCCAGCGTGTCATCGTGTCTGATGTCCAGGAGAGTCTGTTCTGGGTTCGTTACAGACGTAATGAGAACCAGCTCATCATCTTCGCTGATGACACATATCCCCGCTGGGTGACGACGGCCTGTCTGCTCGATTATGACACCATGGCTGCTGCTGACAAGTTTGGGAACATCAGCATCGTAAGTAAAGGGCGAGAAGTGTTTGGGGGTGTGTATTGTATTTTTGTGGGCGAATAAAGCCAGAAAACATCAAGACCATCAGCCCTAAACAAAATTTTCCGCGATGACGTAACGTCTCCATGTTTTGTCCTTGGGTGCTTAGGTGCGTCTCCCCCCTAACACCAGTGATGATGTGGATGAAGACCCCACAGGGAACAAGGCTCTATGGGACAGGGGCCTCCTCAATGGAGCATCACAGAAGGTACACATATGCTTCACCTTTTCACGTTTCTGGGACTTTAACAGTGTGTCTGAGCAGATGAAGCATAGACTCAAAAAAGAGAAGTGAGTGAATTAAAAAGGACATTGTCTCTCTGGATGCCAACAGATAATAAATAAAAGTGAGGTTAAAGAGGTTTAAGGGAAAGACGTGGGTCTTCGATGAGTTTGTGTAAACATCAAGGGATGGGGAAGTTCTTAATGGTAAACCATTCCATACTTTTGGACCAATGACTGTAAAACTTGGTTTCAAGTCTGCGTGGGATGGAGAGCAATGGTTGGTAAGCAAATTTGAGGAATCTGGAGGTGGGATGGAGGGTAAGCAGTTCGAGAAATGGGATGTTGTGCCAGTGCCTCGCAGTGCTTTAGAAACAAATAAATGAGTGTTGACAGCTCTTGTTGCCCCGGAGCAGAGGTCTTCAGCTTGACCTCAAAGTGAAAGAACAATTTAGATTTAACATGCATTGTCTGTTCAGACCTGCTTCAGGCTTGTGCATCGGGTTAATGCTTCAAATTTTAAAAAAGCTTAGAGTTACTTTAACATTTAAACAATCGTTCATCATTTTCTGTGACTGAGCAATATAGGCCACAAATGATATCTCAATATATTTTTTAAAAAGGGATATATGCCAGTACTTTATAAGGTAACAAGAAGTGAGATTATTAAAATATTAATAATAAAATATACAGTAAGTCATGTAGAAAAGAATGTAGCAGGGGCTTCTGCATTTTTAAGAAAATATCAAAGCACTTTTACTTTCCTGATGTTTAACATAATAGGACTGGTTCAGATGAGATGTTAAAGGCTGTGTATGTAAAACGTATGTTTTAACATTAAGTAAATGTATACTTTGAAACTTTGGGCCTGTGCTGTTTTGCTCTCTTTTAAACCAAATCTGAACTGCAAAAAGAGAAACTGTAAAAACTGCTGCAAACACAACCCTTATTATACTAAGAGCTTTACATTACGGCAAAGTATATTGATGCAGTGGATACTGTCTAATTCTACATCTTTTGAGAATATGTTGATATATTAAAAAATAAATTACCTTACCGTTTATGTTTAGAAATGAGTGTAGATGTTAAACGTGGTATTTTAACATTGGTTGCAAAGTACAAAGATTTTTATCCTGCAAGTAGCAAGTGTACACTTTTATGAGGCAAAGCAGAAAACTGTGGCTTTAGGTGGGATAACTGAGGCAGACCTCTGCTACATCGCATGCATCCAGTGCTGAAATCTGGCCCAGTGTACTAATCTGCCTCCCTGGCCACTCCAACCTCCGCAGACACACCACCATCAACCACAAGTGTAACCTACTCTCAAATGCAACACAAGCCGCGCACACACAGGAGAAACACACCGGATCACTCATCCCACATTTTAAATCCTGGTCAGAAACTGTTTAGGTAGCACATAGACTGGGAAAGTCCCTCCAGTGTAGTCATTATGAGCTGGTCCCAGTTGCCATTGTGACACAGTGTGTGCTATTTCTGCTTGTGCACGCTGCACGCATAGATTCATTTGAGTTTGGAAATGTACCGTATCTATATATAGACATGGGTGTGGATGTCTTGACTTGTCTTTATGCAAAATGATGTCTGTCTATGCGTCTGTCCAGCCGGCAAGTCACGTGGCTCGGACAGAATGCTGCCATACAAAGTAGAGGCTTTTCTTCTCTGAGCACTCAAAGCGTTTTTCCTTACAAGGCTCATTCACCCAATCACGCAGATTCATATAAGCAGTATTTTCTATACCTAAGATTTTATATGAGTTGCACACTCTAACATCTTGCTTAAGGATACTTTGACATGCACTCCAATAGCCAGGGAATCGATCCACTGAGCTTCCCTTTGATAGATGACTCGCTCTGTCCAGTGCCTGGTGAATCACTATACAAAAAAGTTGATGTCAAATTGACCTGACATCCATTGTGCATGTGTAGATTTTTGTAATCCAGTGTACAGCTGGGGCTGCAGTGGTCAAACACTTTATATGAAAAACTTTCAGGTGAAATAAACTGTTACAGGTTCAAGTAAGGGGAAGCGGTTGTCTTCTTTGCACATCTTTCTGACTTATTTGTGGAGTACAGAGATCATTTCGACTCTGCTTGTCCCTCCTTAGTCCCAGATGTGGTCCAATTAGCCTATTATTGAGGTTTTATTACTACACAATGCTCCCTTGGTATTCACAGTACTATCATCATCATTGGCTTAGTGGTTTCTGGACAGTTATCAGATTAAACCATCAGGACCAATTTCATCCAGGTGGAGGATGAAAGTGTTTCTTATTTTGTCTCTTAAAAAATGCAGACTGGCAGTTAATGTGCTTTATGTGCACATGCAGCTGTCAGAACAGCCAATCTTCGGAGCTAAAATGGCCTCAGGTGACATATCTGATCTGACATATGATCAGATTTTGTATGTCTTATGTCTATGTATTTTTTCATTCCCTTTTCTCTCTCTCTCTCTCTCTCCAGGCTGAGATAATAATGAACTACCATGTAGGAGAGACAGTGTTATCTCTGCAGAAGACTACTCTGATTCCCGGTGGTTCAGAGTCCCTGGTCTACACCACGCTGTCTGGAGGCATCGGCATACTAGTCCCATTCACCTCACATGAGGTAAAACACTAAGATCTCATCTATGTGAACACACATGCACACGTTGCATGATCCTAAAGTAGTATTGTGTTGCTCAAATGGCCTCCCGATTTCTCTTCCTTCTCTTTTTAACCCCCCCGATTTCTTTATTTCGTCTGACAGGATCATGACTTCTTCCAGCACTTAGAGATGCATATGCGCTCAGAGTTTCCTCCTCTTTGTGGCAGAGACCATCTCAGCTTTAGATCCTACTACTTCCCAGTCAAGGTTGGGATTGTTTTTACACATCTGTCTTATTTTTATAATATAGTTTCAACTGCGGAACCTGTTTATTAAAAAATATTTGAGGATAACAAAAACAAATTCTGTTATTTTCTCCAGAATGTGATTGATGGAGATCTGTGCGAGCAGTTTAACAGCATGGACCCTCACAAGCAAAAAAGTGTGGCAGAGGAGTTGGACAGAACACCACCCGAAGTCTCTAAGAAGCTGGAGGACATTCGCACTCGCTACGCTTTCTAATCTCACACACGGACATTTCGCACAACACACATGAATTTTACCAATGCATACGTTTCAGGACCCACAGATCGTTGCTTTTCCCAGCTGCAAGTCATCTTTAGTGATTCAGAATGAGGTAGTATGCAATTTACTGTGAGTAGACACCAGCTTACGTGGAAACCTACAAGAAGCCACTCGGCCTTGTAAGTGTCTCACGTTAACCACCTGTGACGCAAGTACTTGCTTTCAAGTGTGTGAGCATTTAGCTGCTGTGTGAACAGGAATGACACATACTTTTTCACGGGTCAGTTACTGAGAATTTGTCAGGTTTTTGTCACCTCTACTCTACAGAAACCATGCATGCAGCACCACAAAGACACGTTACGTGGAAACATGACAAAGCTGTTGTTTCTCTAAACATTGAGCAGTAGCTTTGGTGTCTTTCACACTTACATCTGTGCGAGCAGAATTTGGCACAGCTGTATGAGAGTTCACACGCTTGATTGCTTTTTCTGTTCACACAGATCACACTTAGAAAGTGTCAGTCATCATGGAAGAAAATCTTTTTTCTATTTAAAGAGTTTTTGCATTACCCCAGGTAGGAAAGGCTAGTTGATGTCTAATGTACACAAAGCTGTCTCTGAAATATTTCATTTTTGTGTATCCTCCAGCTTTGACCACAGGAAACTTTTTTATATAATGATATCATTTTAATTTGTGCTAATTGGAATAATTTGTTGTGAGACATACATACCATTGTCCCAGATGGTATAAAAGTTCCCAGCCCCAAACCCTTCCTGTCTTTGTGATGTCATGTTGGCCCCAGGCTCATTAAAAAGCACATTGCTTACTCACACCTGGAAGCCTAACACAAGCTGACACCTAACAGTGTGTAAGCTGCAGCCTGCAGTCCAACAAGTGCCGCCGTTCTGTGGAGTTGGTGGAAAAATACTGAAGGTTTGCACTGGGTGTTGTTCTTGTCAGTCCAGTAAATTCCCAACCTCAGCCACAGACATAGCAATCCACAGTAGTCACTGAATTTAGGGGGATTGTGGGACAGGTCAGTGGGCTGTTTTTGTAAATAAAGTTGTTTTTGTTCTTTATAATGCCAAGCGTCTGTATCATTTTATTTTATTCTTTTCACCTTAGTATGTTTGGAGAGCGTCAGTTTGATAAAGGATGTGTGACTATAAATCTTTGTCATCATCAACACATTGGACGCCCGATATTAAGATTAGTCATGACTGCATATACGCACAGCTGTAGTTGATGTGCCGATCAGCTGACGGCTTCTGTAAACGTGTGTTTAGTACAGACTCAAGGTGAAGCTGCTCAACTTCAAGGTGAGGAGAAAAGATTTAGATGTTGCAGCAATTTAAGTCAAGTCCAGTTATGATGCATTTAGATTGACTTGACAAACATAATGGATTCTAGTTTTCAAAAATAAATGTGTATACTTTTTGGCACTTTTGGTTTCATCTCAAAGTCAAATTTATTTATGTATTTTTTCCGTATTACAATAAAGTCTCCTTTACTAATTCTGCTTAGACTGAGAAAAACGTTTAGTTTAATGTACAATTGTAAAAACCTAGCTTGGTTTGGACTCGCCTCTTCTTCACATGCATAAATCCGGGACTGGGGCAATCAGTTAAAAGACTTTGTTGTTGCGATGCAGAATAGCTGCTAACCACCACATGATTTTCCAAGCTGTTGATTATTTTAGAAAACTTGACGTTTTAGTAATTAGATGTGAACCTTTTATTCATTCCCTTCCCTGTCATAAATGCTGCCAACATAAAAATCTGCAGCAAGAAAGAAAATAACTACAATATATGCAGTTAGTGCCATATATTTTTGGATTCTGATAAATTTGATAGTTTTGACTTTTTTACAACACTGCAGTGGAATTCAAATAAAATAATGAAATGCAACCTGCAGACTTTAAGATTTAATTATATCAGTTTAGCATCCTGAGAATTATAGCTAGTTTTATACATAGAGGCTCAAAACTAATTGGACACGTACAATTGGCTCATTATCTTACAGATATAGAGTTAAATGAAGTTTTGAACATTTGGTGGCTTTGCACCAGAACTCTCAACATAAAATCCAGGATATTGCAACTAAAAGACCTTCCTGTACTGTAGCGATTAAAACAGACGCCTCATCAATAGTCCTGACTCCTCAAATATGGTTCTTTATTCTCTGTAGAGGTTTCCATCAAGGTAAGAATACAAATAAGGCTGCATATATTTATTCCTTCCACGGGTGCACATAGTGCCACATAGAGCAGTGAGGCTGCTGTCAGCTGAGAATCTCCCTACGGCAGCTTGTTTAACTTGCATAGCAACAAGACTATAAAGATTTGTCACATTAAAGAATAACAAGTGCTCAGCTGCTGCAGAGCCACATCTGGACCAGCGCTTCTGCATGGGGATTTGCCTCTGTGGGAGAAAAGCCAAGAACTCAACCAGACTAAACTTTCCCACTTAGAACAATGGCTCTGTAGGGTTTCATAGAAGTGTAACCACATGGGCAGGTTTTTCAAAATATGTAAAGTGCCTTGTGGTGAAATCCAGAAACCATCTGAGCAGAGTTCACAAGGCACAGGAAAGAAAGTTCAGAATGTATGAAAATGCCCAATGCTAATGGAAATCAGTGGTTTCCAACTGGAGTGTATGCTGTCATTAAAAGCATCAAAATCCAAATCAAAGACATTCTCAGGGATTATTTTAGCTTTTCATAGTTCCAAGGGTTCATGTCTAGTTTGAATCAGCAAAGATTCAAGCAATGAGAAACTGATGGATTAGCGATACTTCCTGTTTCCCGCCTCTGCGTGGAGTTCATTTATCAAACACTGTCTGCTTGTTGATGGGGCAAGCTGTTGAGATTCTTCTATTTTGGGGGACTCAAATTTAATTTGATAAATTAGCACAGTCTGAAGTGTGAGACACATGGATATCATAAAATAAATGTTCAACTTTGTGAAGCTCTGGCAGGGCTTTTCTGCAGCCGTCTGTTTGTTGGCAAATCAGTCGATGTGGGATAACTCCTGAGTTTGTGCTGCAGAAACAAAGTGAGGTATTTGATTGAATTGACTGAATTTAAATCTCTTCACACTTCAGAGTTCCTCACCACTACATAAATCTTGTTACAGGTGTTTCAAGCTTTAAGGTGTCACTGAGGTTTGAAAGGTCAGAAAGCATCGGTAGCATCTCATTTTCTGTGTACTTTATCACCAAGAAGTGGTTGGTAAAAATGTTCTGCTTCCTCTTTGGTGTCTGTTTCAGTCACATTGCAAGTTGCAGCCTTCAAATTGCTTAACTGCACTGTGATGAAAGCATTAACTGTAACGTCAGACATGACGTATTTGGTGGAATCTGAACTGAACGTAAAGCTCTTCACACTCTTCATCAGGCTGCGTTTTTTGACTTTTTGTCACGTCATGTTCAAACACTAGTGGCACAGTGCAGTTGGAAGCTATGCATGTCCATGCATGTCCATGCATCTCTATGTCTTTTTAACCACCATGTTTTTTACAGGTGATGTTGCACACGCTGCGATGTGCACGATTACAAGCCTGGGTCATGTTGACCTTTTCTGCAGCTGCTCCAGCTTTTTGGATGTTTTTTTTTTTTTTGCTTCTTTGTAACCAGACCTTTCTTTTCTTACTTTGTGCCAAGCCATCTTATTTTTCTCTTTTGGCAGACCTGGATAATGATGCGCCTACCTTTTCTTAAACTTGACTAAATGTTCCAAAGAAGCTTTTCTTTGCTATTTAAATGATTCTCTAGTCATCCACCACAGTTGTCTGCTCTGGATTTCATGCTCTTTTTAATGTTGCAGAGCTCATCAGTGCCAGATTGTACTGAAACTGTTGATTTGTGCTATCGTAATGTTCCTGTCGTCTCTTTGATTCATTGGTTTTGTTTTGTTTTCACAGCCCAAGCAAGCGCTTACTAAGGAAGGGCCACTCCTGTCCTTAAAACAATTTTGATTCAGTTGCCCAATAACAACTCAGCACCCAACGTAGGGTACAGTGTACAAAAATGACAATAAGTGTCAACCCCTGAGAGTCTGGACTTTAAGTCCATATTTAGCATATACATGTAAGCTGAATATGTTTTGCTACACAGAACAAAATAAAAATTGTGTTGGTATTGTGTCAGTCCTTAATAATAACTAAATAATAACAGTTATATATTAATCTCTCCATTTTTTAAACTGCATGTCCATTTCAGGAATGCGAGGGAGCCTATTCCTGTCATGATCCTGGGTCATTTGACCCAGCGTTTTGAGTTTTAATATATTTTTATGGGTTATGTTTACATTCTTTAGGTTGTCTAAGTTCATTTCTTTTATGCCTAGGTTGCCGTTAGGTTCACTGTCTATTAGATTCCCCTTGTGTCTTCAACCCCTGTGTTTAATTTCCGTCGCCCCTCATGTGCCTCATGTCTGTGTTTTATGTTGTCAAGTTCGTGTTGTCATGTCTGCGTCTCATTATGGTTAATGTTTTGTTTTGAAGAGGTCTTGTGTTTCTATGCAGTGTGTTTAGTTTTACTCTTCCTCTGTGACATTGCTATGTTCATTTTTGTCAGCTGTTTCCCCGTGTGTGCATTTCCCCTGATCGCCTCCTGTGTGTATTTTCATTCATTCCTCGTCCGGTTGTCTGCTTTCATGTCATGTTTCCAGGTTTTTCTGTATATCATTGCTAGGTCTCCATGTTCAAGTTTTTTTCGTGTTTTAATGTTAGTTCACCCAATTTAGGTTATTGTTTAGTTTTCATCCTTGCCCTTTGTATTTATTTTGCCAGCCTCAATAAACGACTCTTTTTCTGTTAAGATTAAGTTTTGTTCTCGCGTGTCTGCACTTTGGTCTTCTTTCCGACTCCACACGGCAGCTTCTCAGCCAGTGACAATCCCAGCTGTCAGTGGGTGAGAGCTGGGTACAATCTGTAAAGGTCCATCACCGGGCAAACGATGACAAACGGACAATATAATATTGTGTAATATAAATATATATAAGATATTTATAATTAGATGTATTTTGTGATATTGCAGAATGTAAAAAATATGTATTATTTAATTAACTAGACACTGTTCTCACTGTGTTGGAACAACTGTGATCACATCATTTCTCCTGGGATCAATGCAGTATCCTGACACACTTACACCAGTGGATTTGAACCCAGAACCTCTTTGTTATGAGGCAACAGTGCTAACTCCACAACTGTACCACTGTCATAAATCATTCATAAATCTTTATTGCTTTTGTCACAGTGTCCCCTGTGGCTATTAGGGTGTTATCAAGAAACTGTATATACTATAGGCATGCGGAGGAGGGAGAATCACTCACAGTATGTCTAAATTACCAACAAATAAACAAAATAGTAATATGCAGAGCAGAGATTTTTTCAGTTTATTTATCTCTGATATATTAAAAGCTATCATGCTTTACTACCCTTTTCACACTGAAGAGCCATTTGGTAATCATTATGTTATCCTATGAAACTAAGATTCAAGCCAATCAAAAATGTGATTTCAAAAATGTAGCTGCTGTCTTCACAGGGTCTTGATTTTTGCACTTTATCCCAGTGTGTGAATAGGACTGGACTCTCACTGCACTGCCCTGATGATATATGTGAAGGGTATTTTGTGCAAACTGCCAGATGGAAAAAACGTCAAAAGGGAGCTTGTTGTTACATCCAAAAGAAACGTTTAACCATTATCAGTAAGCCCAGTTCACATCAACAATATAAGTTGCTGTAGTAGCACTTTGGGCTGTCTCGGCCATCAGAGGTCACAATTGGGATGACAGTGGCTCATTTATCATGATACATTCCACTGTTCTGGACATTAAACAGTCACTGAGGCTTAAAAGTTCAGAAAGCGTCTGTAGAAGCTCATTCTGTGTACTTTTTAACCAAAGAAGTGGTTGGTCTCTGTTTCAGTTGCAATGCAAGTTGCAGTCTCGAAATTGCTTAACTGCACTGTGATGAAAGCATTCATTACAACGTCTGACCGCAAGTTTGTTTGTGTTTGGTGAAGAGTTATTGCCTCAGGGTCATTGTTCTTGCAGTGTTAGACCGCTATAACTGCTGAAACCTGTCTGAAAGAAAGAAAGATGGGGCTGTGTGTAGCATCTCAAATGTAGCTGGAATCGAGACATTTTGTCACAGAACATTTTGGGAGCCCCAAAGTATAAAAGGACGATGTTCAGTTTATATCATCGTTTCAAAGCAAAATAATATTTTTTAAATATTTCATATTTATAACGAGAATGATCAGAATTGACTTTTGAGTTATTATCTCTCTGGGTACTCTGACCTCCTCCCACAGTCCATAGACATGCAGTTAGTGGGGCTAGGTTAAGTGGCAATTCTAAATTGCCTGTAGGTGTGAATGT